AAAAAAATTGCTCTGCATGTGCGGAGATTGCTGGACAAAAAAAAGTGCCTGAAGGTAAATGGACAGGTGCTCCAAGTGTGAATGCTTGTGCGGAAAGAGAACTGACAACAAACATTTCCATCGATAACTGAGATTCACCAATTGGCAAAGAAAGAAAAATGTTGCTTGAGATATCAGAATGTGATTTAAGGATACGGACTTTGTCTATTTTGACACGTGATGTTGCCTTTCCCCTACAACTTCCGGCAAGTGTGACAATTTAAAACAATTTTTTCAAAATCCTTTAAAATACACATCAACATTATCCACTGAAGTTATAAAAAAGTAAAAACTGAGCGCTGCCAAGCATACTAGTGAAAAGGAACTGCAGCAGTGCATGTTCTCCTATCCCCCACCGCCAGTTCACGGCACCTATGGAGCATGGCATGGAGGAACTGACAAAACAAATGACCCTCGAGGTCCCTCCCAGTTCTAGGAGTCAATGAACCGGCAGCCAAGAACTCAGTTCCATGCCTGGCTCTGTCACTGACTCTGGGCTTGCAAAACTGGTACAGACACATTTCAAGTGTAGTTTACCAGGGTAAATCACCCCGACACAATGCAGCTGTAATACTGACAGGAGGAACACCAACCCTGGGGGCCCTGGAGCTTAGTGCGTGAGCTAGAAGCCAGCTGGCACTCAGGTGAGGCTGTAGCACCCTCATTCGCTCTCTAAGTGGTCTCAGTGCGAGTAGATGGGACAGTGAACCACAGCCAGAAGGTGCGTGGGTTACAGAGCTACACTGGCAGCTGTCCCAATGTAATTATGACAGCACAAACCATCCCTGTGCCCTACAAAAAGCACCAATATAACCAGAGCTAACGATGTCACAGTCTCTTGCCTAACAAAACCAAACGAACAAAAAAAAAGGGTAATTACTACTTCACAGCAATGTCAGGAGACTTTGTTAAATAGTATGTGTAAAGCGCTTCATCTCCCCCAGGCTACACAGTGGCTGAACATTAAATATTCATCCACAAGGCAACTCTGGTCATTGTTCCCTACTTGGGAAAAACCCGTTGCGGTGAAAGATGATGGATGCCGTGCTGGGCCTAGAAGAGGAAGCGAGAGTGAAACGGGAAGAAAGATTGATGGGATGAATGGGAAGGATCCAGATACAGAGCACTTCAGGGAGTGGAAAACGAACAGCTCTTCAGGTCCTTTGAATCTTGGGATGTTGTGTCCTGCCATTTCGGTGTCAATCTTTACAGTGTGAAGATCCACTCACCTTTCATCTGGTGAGCACTCCTCAAACACAGACCCACGCGAACGGTGCGTAGAAGGATCTTTTAGCACAGTCTTCGAATTGAGGGACAAGCACGGCCCTACGGACAGACACACAAGAGTGAGTCACAAGGGAAGAATGAACCAAATGGGAGACGTGGTGGATTTTACTGGTTGCCCATGGGCAGGGAAAATCCCACACGACGGAAGGTACGCGGTCCTCTAAATAGAAGACTTACGAAGCGGTCCACTTGAACAGATCTTATTTAATCATTGTCTTCTTTACATAACACGGGGAACATTTCTTGGCTTGTACCACTTCTGCTGTAAGAGGCCTCATGCCAGATGAGCTATCCAGCCAGCTCAGGAGTTGGTGGAACTTTTAATTTGATACAGACGGAGGGCACTTTTTCGTTACCATACAGCATTTTCCCTCACACCTTTAATTCCCCTCCCGTCTTCGCACTACTCGGAGTCCCCATCAACAGTCTCCCACGGAACCCAGACATCCTGCATGGCAGTGAGTCAGCCCAGGAGCCAAACCTCCTAAGCCAGACACCGGGAAAAGATCCCACTCCGAGAGGCAAACAGAGGGAACGTGAGCTTGCTGCTAGATAGATCATTTATTAAAAGTGAAACTCAGGCATTTATATCCTTGTCTGATGCACAGAGAAAAATCTCATACACAAAGGGAGCAGGACATTTTCTACATCTCAAATTATACAGTTTCACTATAAATTACTAGAGTTACTTTGACAGTACACAGCTATAGTACATAATTAAAAATACACGTAATCCAAAACATTTGGTATAAGATCAGCACAACATGTGGGAGGCCGTAATGAAAGGGGGAATGATTGCTTTTTCCTCCCAGTAAGCCTGGTACAGAGTAAAAGGATTTTTTTAAACTTCTCTGATAGCGTCCTCTTGATGTTCTGGCTGGAATGGGGCAAGACAGGAGAGATGAAGGCAACGAATGAAAGGCAAAAAATTGCAACCTACTTCCTTTAAAAACAACCTTGGAAATCTGTTAGGTTAGAGACCTTAAAACAGTGTTTCTTAAACTGTTCCGGGGCACAGTCAGAGATGTGCCACGAAGAACAACAGAGTTCAAAATGATCGCCCTTAAAGGGGCGGACGACCTTTTTTTTTTTTTTTTGCTCAATAACTCCCCCCCCGACACTTTTCTTTTTTTTTTTTTTGCTCAAAATAAAAAATAAATCCTTGGTGTTCCTCATAAAAAAAAAAAAAAGTTATTGTTTGGTGTTCCTCGATCTTAAAAAGTTTAAGAAACACTGCCCTAAGAATTCACTGCAAACTATTCTAAAATCTGGACCTGATTGTAAGTCAAATTCAGAATTTAAGGCAAGAGCCCTCCCACTCCAGGAACACTTTTCACTGTCAAGCCGAGATGGGGGCAATGGGTAACATGGAAGCGTGAGCAGGGCTCTGTTGCCCAAGTGAATGGAATTAGCCTGTGCTGTAAGCGTTCCATTTAAAAATAGAAAGCAGAAACTGTAAACTGAACATTATCACCTCTCTTATGCTCGGTAAGTCCTAGCTGACATGAAGGAATAAAAAAAGAGCCCTCATTAATATTCTACTGTCTCTGCATGATGGGCCCGTTAATTGACTAGCCTGTAAGATGGCTCCCCAACCTAAAATTTCAATGTTCCCTCCCTTCAAAAGTTTAAACTGGAAAGAGAAAATGCTAGGGCACCACAGGAGTAAAAAAGTTTTTTCTCTTCTGTCCCCCTCCCTGATCACTTCCATTTACCGACCATAATTTCCCACCAGCGTTTACATCAGAATTTACTTACAGAATAAAGTGCAAGGCTCACCCTTTCTCCTCCCCACAATATTTGAGTTTGGCATAAAACGCTCATTGCAAATTTAACCCTGTTTAGGTGACACATTCCTCTCACTCACTCTCTCTCTCTCTCTCTCAATTGTAATTAGCCCATGTATCTTTACAGTGTAATTATGTATCTGGTTTTCATTTGGACCACTTCCTACTCGGAGTTCTCTTTGCTATGATACCTTGTCTGAAACATACGCCTAGTGTGAGTTTCTTTGGCTCTACATTTCCTAGCTTGTTTGGGTAAGAAGCCATCCTACTCACATGCCTTTCAAATACCAGACACATTTTTTGGGTTCAGTTTTGTGAACGACATCAGTCTGCTAGAGGTGGCTGGCAAGGGCGGGGGAGGGAAATGCGTGTAGTCTATAGCATTAACCTAGAAGCTTTTGCTTATTCGTTAATCGACTACATTATAACATCCCTAGAAGGTACCAGACTATTGGGAAAAGTCGGGACAACCTTTATCCTCCATTTTTCTGAATCTTGGGATTCCTATTCACTACAGCAGCTAGAATAGCACAGCTACGGTGCTGCAGTTGTGCTGTTGTAGCACTCCAGAGTAGATGCTTCCTACACTGACAAGGTGGCCTTTCACCATTGATGTTGGTAATTCACCAAGGAAAGACAGCTGGTAGACCAACAGAAAAAAGTCTTAACTGCGTCTCCAGTGAGGTTAGATCCATCTAATTATGTTACACAGGGGATTAAAGTTTTGCAGTCCTGAGAGAGACAGCTAGGTTGACCTAAGTTTTAGGTGTAGATTAAGATTTAATGCCCAAACATTTTAGAAAGATACACTCAGTTTTACCACAACTATTTGCTCGTGATATGCAGTATTCAAGATAGACACAAAACTAGGCCTTGAAAGATGAACACAGAATATCTTAGAACAAAATGCCCCTTAAGGACTTGCCCACTTTATGAGCTGCACTTTCCAGTCATCACAACGTCCCTGCCTCTAATTTACTTCTATCACAGAACACTTTAAATGTCCTTGTTTTTTTTCCCCACTGAGCCCAAGGTATAAGATAATTTCTTCTTCTTCTTCTACAAATACTGGTGACCAGCATAAGACCACTGCACAGGATGAAATCAACTCACTAAAGGCATGTCTACACTAGCGGGAAGATTGACCCTCTGGAGATTGATCTTCTAGCGTTCGATTTAGCAGGTCTAATGTAAACACCGTAAATCAAACACTGAGAGCAGTCCCCCTGGCGTCCCGTACTCCCGGTTCTACGAAGAGTAAAGGAAACTGACAAGAGCATGTGCTCCCATCGGCCTCTCGTTGTTGGACGCTGCCATGGCTCGGCTTAAGGTAAGCCAACTCTAGCCACACATTTTGCCATCAATAAGGCCTGCAGGAAGCAATCCACATTATCACCATTCCATCCTAAGGGCTTACGGGTTTGATCCAAAGCCTAGTGAAGTTGACTGGAGTCTCTAATGGGCAGGGCTTGACAAAACCGTTTATCTACTCGCCTGTGGTGAGTAGATTTCGGCCGGTCGGCCCGTTTACCGGTGGTGCACGCATGCGCGATGCGGGGCTGGCGAGTAGATTTTGCCGTGGTTTGTCGAGCCCTGCTAATGGGATTAGGCTCTTACCTGGACAGAAGGATTTCCTATGGACCCGCTGCACCATGTCAATTCTACTCACAGATTTGGAACAATTAATAATGTCCCATCTGTGAAATACAAGTTCTAAAAAGTATCAAGGTACAAACCTACGACTTGTGTGAATGAACCACGCCAATCAAAGCAATTCTGCACAACTGCATCTCAAACAAACCCTGCTGAAGCACTGAAAAATTCTGCTACCTCAGCTTTCATCACACCTCTGGGGCTCACAAAATATTTGCTGCTGAGGATTTAAAATACGTTGGACGGCATCTTTAATTGGCACGCAGCATAATCAAATACACACAATGGCATTACACAGAACAATTGCATTGTTGCGTTCCAGGTTATTAAAGTCTAAATGCTTTGAGACCCACAGGCACTCTGAACACGGATATTGCTGCTGAATTGACGTGATGTCAGTTTCTAGTATGGGAAGAAGACACACGAGGGACCAGTCCCTTCTTCAAGACACTTGCTCTCATGCTCCAGGCATGTTACTCTAGCTGAGTGGAGAACAAGCAAATAAGGCATCTCCAAGTGTTTATAAGGCAATGGGATCAAGGGATCTGAAAACCAAAGATTCCTCCACTTCCTTGGTGTCCCTCCTCCAACCTTTCCACCTTATAAACTCCTGCTAATGGCTGGTAAACATCTTTCCATCACCACCCCCTTAGAGAATGAGATTTTTTAAAAAATCTAATTGCTTAAGTGAAACCAACAGCAATCATACATTTTATACCAATTTTGATTAGTTCAAAAAAATTCCCACCTCCTCACAAACACATTCCAACAAACACACCAGAACAGCTGGAACCTGCCAACTTATTTCCTTTGTAAATAATCAATTTGCTGCTGTGCAGCTAAAACACGACAACACATTAATTGCTCTTAAAACACACCCCCATCTATTTTTACAATTTTGGCCAGGAAGTTAGGATGAGGCATAACCTACTAATAGTTTGAAGACAGATTTTACCTTAATCATTCTCTTCCAGTTGCATGCATACAAGCTCTGAAGTTAATCATGCACCAGAGAATACACCTTCAAGGCATCTGTCTTGAGTTATCCTTCCAATACAGAAGGGACCAGAATAATGGAAACTCTTAAGACACTGAAGAAATATCGATGTGAGACATTTGCTCATCGTTCTCTATGCTCCTTCACTGTGTCAAATCCTTCTGGGGGGTTTTGTCTACACTGCAATTAGTCACCTGCGGCTGGTCTATGCCAGCTGATTCAAGGGTCTGTTTAATTGCACATTTGGGCTCAAGCTTGGCTACAGCCGAAGCCTGAATGGCTACTTTGCAATTAAACAGCCTCTAGGTTCTAGCCCCAGCCCCATGAGCAAAATTCTCTCTGATCTTTTCCATCCATGAGGGGAACACATTTTTATGTGCACTGAAGGATGTGCAAATGCGCACCACCAGTAGAAACACAAAACTTAGCATTAGGCGCTTTGCTAATCAGCTGGGTGGCATCTGACTCTCTCCTGAGTGGCTGCACAAGCGCACAGCTTACAGTGAACGTTGCCTACGAGCCTGTATCAGCCGGCACGGGCCAACCACAGGTTTTCAATTTAAGTGTAGACATACGTAAGATCTAAACAGTAATAAGGTTCTTAAAATTCATACTGAATTGGCGACTTTGAGGATACTAGAAACAATCCACATCTTCAGAGATGTATCAGATTAAAATTTCTAGCACAAGAAGTATTTTCTGCATGACACTGGACTTATTTTAAAAAGGCCGAAGTTTCTTGGACTTCTATTTGGAACATAAGCAAATACTTGAAGACCATGTGGTGAACTTATTCTTTTCACAAATATTTTGGGAAAGCTTAAGATTTCCAGAAATTATTGTCTGAACTGCCCGTCTTGCACAATAAAGGATAAATACAGTATTGAGTAGTCTCTCATGTTTAGCTATTCAAAGTTACAGCCAGTTTCTGCATGTTCAAACCCACAACTGAGAGTCTAACCAAAGTTCTCCACTGTTCACATTGCTGATTAAGGCTTATTTGATATATGATCATCAAGTGGGGCCTTGCATCTTAGAACAGAAAAGACAAAAAAAAAAAGTTAAAACAGCAGGGGAGCAGAGTGACTAGGTTGAATTGAATTTGAGGTCACTGAAAAATTTTAGCATCCCTTTGCCAATTTCGTTTAGGCTATGAAGATCTGTAAGGATACCTTGGCTTCAAAATGACAATGCTAGGTTTAAATATCAAGTTACAAAAAGGCCAGTCTGTGCCATTCTATTATCCACCTTATTCCTAGGAAATGTACATGTAATGCTTATGAAAGGTTAAGTGGCTTAGCTCCATGCATTGCTGAAAATGCTGCAGACAGATGCGGTTCAAATATCGTGTATGCCCCTGTTTGTACACTGGCGATACATCTGCTCCTTCTGTAATGATTTATCTGAAACAGACTGGAAGTCAGATCAATCTGCGTATCTGTTTTGTGAGGTAGACCTGCTGAAGACCAGATTGAGAAAAAAGTCACTTGTGTGACCTACACCTAATTTGACCCAGTCTAGCGGCCGGTGCCATAAGCCATGGCTTCACCTATCCCCTTGAGCCTAGAATTCAAGAGACAGAACAATGACTTAAGTGAATTAATTGGAGGCATTTCTAACAACATGGTCAAATCAGAGAATTAATTCACAATATTTGCCTAGATGCCAAATATTTCCTTAAATGCCCTAAATCCAGAAAATGCAGACAGACATTCTCAAATGCTAAAAACAATGCAATTAAATAGTGAGTTTTAAATAAGGTAAAACAGTTCAAAAGGTTGGCCGTACTGGTCTGATTTCCATCTGATGCAATGTGAGAAATCCATCTTCGAACCAATCAAATAGCAGTCACTGAAGCGGATTTGGCGAACTGTAGCATTCACAGAAATTTGGGACTTGTCACATAGAGCAAGGTGGAATGTACTCAGGTTGTGAGTAACCCTCAAGCAGACTTCTGACCTGTGCACCTTGATTCTGAATTATAGCTCCATTGCTGTTTCAGTCCAGAACCAAAGCATGTTGCATGATGGATTTATGATGCAGACTGAAACCACTGACTTCTTTTTACTCATCACCTAAATCACATTCAGAAGCAGGCTTCCAGAAGCACTTTACACACTACATCAAAGAACTCCAGAGTCAGAGTCCTACTGATATCTATAATTCTTCCTATGACCTTTATTTCTTCATTCCAATGTTGGCTTTGATTGGGAAGTTAAGTCTTCTCAGGCATGTTGGATGCATGTTTTCAGATACTCCTGATCAAGAGAGTCTTGATTATGTCATTTACACACACACAGCATTAAAACAAATTTACAATATAGTTCAAGAGTCTTTACAAGCTTAAAATGCACCGCACCACCTGTTCCTTCAATACCATGCTTATTCTCATCCGAAGTCCAATTCATCTTCATTCTAGATGCTTGCTGCTTTCTGATTTCTGGTCCAGCCTGCTCTTGTTGCTCTTTACCATGTAGATGAAGTAAGCAAGTGTTTCCTTCTCATTCACAGGGATATTTCTGAAGTGGCGGCTAATGGTCTAAACATGAAAAAAAGGCAAATTCTTGAATTAAATGCAGAAATAAGCAGAGCTACAAATTGACCTTTGTTCATCCTGACATTGATTTAAGGCCGTTAAGTGAAACACTTGTACATAAACATGCACTGATTTGAATAGTCAGTCCTCCTTTACTCTTCACTGTGGCTAGAACGTGCATATGAGCAGAGAGTTGTCTTGCTAGATCAGCAATTTCAGCAGCCAATTCACAAGTGGAATTTGGAAGCTAGGAAGTCCTTTCTTAAGAAGGCATTACAAGAGGCTAGCTCTTTAGTTAGTAGTAGAAACCACCCCCCTATATTCATTCCGTGCCAAGTTTGCTTGGAGAGTTTCCCCATGACTCAGTATTTTAAAGAAGGGTGATGGAAAGCTATTGCCAAACTTTGCTAAGGGAACCAAAAGAGGGCGAGACATGGCAATGTAAACAATGCAGCTTCAAAGGACCTTTGTCCACATTAAAACATATTGGGGAAGCTTTCAAAGAGACTGAAAGGGGATCCACAACAAACGCACGCTAGGGCTGCTACCTCAAACTTTGGCAGAAACCCCGGACGGTTAAGGTTGCTTCTCTCATCCAGAGGAGAAATCTAATGTTACAAAGATCTTGTTGGGGCAGGAATAGGAGATGTGCTTTCCCTTAGGGTGGAAACATCTTTCAGTACTCAACACAACTCCAGAATTGACTTTTGTTGCAGGTTGCACAATATGAATCACTCCAAGACGACTTATGGAAGTTTGAGTTTTCCTTACGGTGGGTTAGAAGCAGATGTCTAAGAGCCTCAGGCAGAAGTGATTCAAGCATGGGAGCTGGACGAGGATCCAGCGTAGGGTCAAAGCTGCTCAAACTTCACAGGAAATCTGGGAAGTGTGTGACAATTTTAAGTTAGGCTCCCCTTAAGGTTAAGCTCTGCTTGCATAATAGTTTTGCTGGGGATACTAACACAAATGTGCTTTAGTACATAGCGCTTGCCAACAAGAGGTAGTTGAAAGACTGCTTACTAGTCAGACAGAACACTACAAATAAACGAGATACAAATGAAGAGCTACACCCCACCCTTCACCTTCTTACGCCATGCAATACACTGTACAACATTAATTCAGTACTCGACTTTGAAAACACAACACATAATAATTTCCCAAAGCTGCCAGAGCTCTGGGTATTGTATGGTAAAAGTCCTGGGCTTGAAAGAAACTCACACTGCATTCTCCTCAGAGGTAATGGCTAACCTGATGAGCGCAGAGCTAACCTGGAAACACATTCAGGTGAAACTGAGGCAGGAGAGAGGATTCTAAAAGTGGCCTGAAGCAGAACTGCCCTGAACATTAGAATACCAGTTAAGGACACCACAGCTATCTGCAGCAGTGCGTGTATAAAAGAGCTTCCCAAACTCTTGTCTCAAGTGGAGGACTGAAGGAGGAGCCAGCTCTTTCATGGCTTATTAAGAACATAAGAATGGCCATACTAGGTCAGACTCCATGTCCATCTAGCCCAGTATTTGGTCTTCTGACAGCAGCCAATGCCAGGTGCTCCAGAGAGCATGAACAGAACAGGAGACCACTAAATGATCCATCCAGTCACCTACTCCCAGCTTCTGGCAGTCAGAGGCTATGGGACACCCAGAGCATGGAGTTGCATCCCTGACATCATTGACGGACCAACCCTCCACAAACATATATGTTTTGAACTGTTTTGTTTTTAACCTTCATGACATCCCCTGGCAACCAGTTCCATAGGCTGACCCTGCACTGAGCGAAGTAATATCTCTTTTTGCTTGTTTTACATCTGCCGCCTATTAATTTCATTGGGTGTCCCCTAGTCCTGATCCATGCGAGGACGTTCCCTCTTATCCCATGACTGATTACTTTGCTTAAGAGCCTTTGGTGAGGGACTTTTTCAAAGGCATTCTGATAGTCTAAATACATTGTATCACCTTTGTCCACGGGTCTGTTGACCTTAAAACCTCAAAGAATTCTAATAGCTTGGTGAAACATGATTTATATGCATCAGAGGGGTAGCCGTGTTAGTCTGGATCTGCAAAAGTGACAAGTAGTCCTGTAGCACCTTATAGACTAACAGATGTATTGGAACATAAGCTTTCATGGGCAAAGACCCACTTTGTCAGATGCATCTGACGAAGTGGGTCTTTGCTCACGAAAGCTTATGTTCCAATACATCTGTTAGTCTATAAGGTGCTACAGGACTACTTGTCGCTTTCGCATGATTTATATGGTAAGCAAAGTATGTCAAGATCAGGGGAGGCAAGGGAAAAAGGAAGGACTAGCAATTGCACTAGGCAGAGAATGGAGAAAAACAAGCCATATGACATTTAAAATGACTGTTAGATGATGCTGTACACAGAATAGTTGTACTGATGTTGGACCAAAAATATTAGACACACAAAGGTGGTGAGATAATTTCTTATTAGACCAACTTCCAGTGGTGGGAGAGAGAGAAGTTTGAGCCACACAGAGCTCTTCTTCAGAGGATCTGGCTCAAAAGCTTTTCTCTTTCATCAACTGAAGCTGATCTAATAAAAGAGAGATTACCTCGCCCACCTTGTCTCTCTGTTAGAATGTGCGTCAGGCATTGGGTTTTGCATTGGTCACCAACTACAAATGTTCTAATTAATAACTATACGGGACAGTAAGAGTCCACTTTCCGATTCTATTTATTCTGCCATCACTAGCCATTCATTTTATAATCAATTAGAAGGATGGGAAGAAAGGAGAACAAATAACTGCTACTGCAAAATATTCCTCGGGATCCTTCTCATGGGAAGAAAATATGCCTACAGACTTCTGCTGGGGCAATTCACTGGAAACAAGTAGCAGAGCTTCTGGATGAACTAGTGATAAAAATCAATGCAGGCACTTGAGTCCAGAAAGTGGATGCAAGGCTGGGGGAGTGAAAAACACATTTTTCTTATGTTATATAAAGTGACTGCCCCGCACCCTCACTTACTTCTGCTAGCTGAGCCTTATTGAGGCCAGGCCTGGTCTGTAACTTGTAATGTCTTTTGTACCGTCGCAGCGTGTTCACTTGCAGCTGGAACAGGTCAACCTGGAAAACAGATGCAGGATGACTAGAATGCAGATGCATCTGAGGAGAGTATCTCAAAAAGGCACTAACTTAACAGGCCTGCTCTGCCTGTATTCAGAGCCACATCCCCCTGCTTTTGTGACAAATATAAGTCTATTTTTTATTCTTGTTGATGTTGCAGAGCCAAAATAGTCTCAGGGGAGAGAAATTCTGTTCCGGCTCATGTACCACAACAGAATGGCTAGTCAATTTCCAGTTGTAAGGCCAAACTGTGGTCTCAATCACACCTCTGTATCCTCAGCAATCCGTTCACTTGTAAACTGAGTGAATCGGAAAAGCAGGTCATTTACACACAGAGAGCCCCCAATGCCATTCTTACATAGAAGAACCACACTAAGAATTATCGTTTTTTGTTACAAACAGAAATCACATTCACTGCAATTCTCAGTGGTTCCCACAGAGTTTAGAAATTTGTGCTTGCAATATCAGGTGGAGGCAATATCAGGCAACACCGCTGAGTTTGTGTCACAAACTGATGGGATTTCCGGGTATCGTTAAGTAATGAACTCAGTTAGGGATATTTCAAAATGTAAAATGCACAATTTCTAGAGAGTGGAAAAAAATGAACAAAGGGCAGGCAGAAAGTGTGTGCTCTGTTAAGTAATTATTTCAATTTATTAGCATACAGCACTTCAAAGTATGCTCAATGGCTAAAATACAAATAGTAATACCATCTAATACCGTTCGTAGATCTCATAGCACTTTACAAAGGAGGTCAATTTCATAAATACCATTTTACAGATGGGGGAAACTGAGGACAAGAAAAACCAGGATATGTGGCTCTTGTCTCAAAGATTTTATAATTTTTAACTCGTTTGAGAAGTATTATTAAATAATGCTACTGTGGCATGTAAAAAAAGACTGTTTATATACCAAAACTTCATAACATCCTTGAAAGTTGTTTTTTAAAAAGTGTTAAAAAGCATAACCCATCTACAAATGTAACAAAATAAAAAAATAGTTTTAGATCCAATTAAACATTTTGTTTGACCCAAAGCCAAATTTTTATTTTTGTTATGGCAAGAAAACCCACAACATTTCTGTTTAAAACCAATTACCTTATTTAAGTGGTTTGGCCCTTAAATTGAAAAATCAATTATTTTCTCAGCTCTACTGCCTGCATATAGTGTTGTAGGGATGAACTCCCTCCCACCCCCCACAAACCTTTGCATTTCCCCTTTTACAGAAAGCTCTAAGTGGACAGGTGCACAGAAGAAATCTAAGAAAGCCAGGAAGTAGGTCATTCCAGCATGATGAAAAAATGGAATATACTCACAAAATAAATCAGAATCACCTACCCCAATAAAAAAAATAATTCCTGCACACATTGCTACTTCCATAAGAATTTAGACAAAGATGCAATGACAGGGAAAGACATAACAGTCTTCTCAGCTCAAATGTCCCCATTTCATGGACTTGGAAAAATGTCCACCCACCTCCTCACTCCAAGATAATATGGTTCATGAAATCTGAACACAGCAGACATTGGCAACAGCAGTCAACATCCACTTTAATAAAACACTTACTTCTGGAACATCCATCTCGTGCTCAGGAGAGTCTCCTCCATCATCACTAGTTTTCCTTTTCCTTTTGTTTCGGACACTCTGAATGAAATTCTTGTGGAAATCACAAATGTACAGGTGCCTTACCTGAGTAAAAAGTAAGGCAAAACCAATCGTAGTAATTGCTGTATAAAAAAATCTGTATAAGACTACAGTCAATTACAAAGCAATAATACAGAAGACATGTTTGCTGCAGTACATTTAACACTATGAAAATTACTGTCTTTTGAATCATGAGTTTGATGCCATACTCGTGAATTATGGAAACAAGCTCATCAAATGAACGTCAAGGGCTGGGAAAAGACAGAGGAAAATGAACGATTCCTAACAACCTGACCTGAAATTCAATCTTTAGTAATAATGCTAAATTTATGATGTCACATTCACTTTCATAAAAGCAATCGAATGTCATAAAATACAGGACGATTTCTCTACATCCAGTTCTGAAGCAGGAGCCACTATAGTGGCTACTGCTATAGCAAACTCGCCACACTCAATCGACCAAATAGCCACACGTGGTTAGCATGTTGGACACCCTGGCTCTACAGGATCATGTCTCTTCACTCCCAAACTGAGCAGTAGCTGGGCTGTGAAAATGTATGCATGTATTTACCTTGATGTATACAAGTGATCCCAATGATGTCAGTGAGATTACTAACTTATAGTGAAAGCTTTGTTATCCTGCACTTTGTTAACGGGAAAACTTACTTAACTAGTATAGCCCCCAGCCACAATACCGTTGCATCTCTAGGTGTGCACACCTGACTCCCGCCTGCCCAGCTTACCTTGGCGGAGCTTCTGACAGCGGGCACTGTTTCTTCCTTCTCAGCTTACCTTGAGCTGCCGGGAGCCGGATCTGCTCGAGGGCTCCTGAGTAGCTGGCCTGCTTGTCTTCCTGCCACTTAGGCGGACACAATAAAAATACCCCAAGTGAGCGAATGTGTGTGTTGGAGCGGAGTAGCCTGCTTCCTCATTCCTCCAAGCTTTGTTAGTTCGTTCTTTCTGGTGCACAATACTTCCTTACGTGGCATAACCAGAGTGACAAACTAACCGTTTGCCTTCAGAGCATATATTCTGAATAACATTCTGAATGGCCATGCATTCCCAAGGGGTGGTCATCGCAGGACGGGGCAGGGACAAAGCAATAACCTTGAGTATCTGGCACATTCAATTAACCAACAACCCCCCACAAGTGCTGGATAACAAAGCTTTCACTGTACATGTTTTCAGGATCAGGGCCTCCCTTTAGCACAGAGGAAGGAAGACTGACTGGCTGCTATTTGTACATAAAAGTTTCTTTCTAAAAGTTCACCCCAATATGAAAGTTTTTCTTAATAAGGATGTTAAATTGCATTTAATCAGCTAATTGAGTAGTTGATGGAATTTCCATCAATTACTCAATTAGGTGGTAAGTACAGAAACAGTAGAGCTGCAGCAGAGTAGCTCTTACTACACTTAAAAGGCAGAGGTGCAGCAGGGGACCAAGTGCGAGCCAGGACTCAGCTGACTCCGTTCTCACCTTGTCCCCCGCTGCATCTCTGCCTCCCCTGTTGCCCTGTGGAGACGGTGCTGGCGGGGAACCGGCTTTTTGCCTCTGATGAGGGGCAGAGGGAGAAGTGACTAGTCAAGTAGTGACTCGACTACCAAGAAACCAGCCTCTCTCTAAACTGACTGTAAATGATGGAAATGAGTTGATGCTATCTAATACAAATGCCTTTAAACTGAAACATACAAAGAAAGCACTTCGTATCTAATTAGTTTAATTCTTTCTGCCTACATAGTTATTTTATTAGTCTGTTTTCCCTTTTTATTTCTGTGGTCTTTAACATGTAACATTAAAAAGAAAGCATCAGAGAGGTAGCCATGTGAGTCTATATCTGCAAAAACAACAGAGTCCTGTGACACCATAAAGACTAACCAAATTATTTACAGTGATAGAAATGTAGCCGTGTTAGTCTGGGGTAGTTGAAGCAAAATGCAGGACAATGTAGCACTTTAAAGACTAACAAGATGGTTTATTAGATGATGAGCTTTCGTGGGCCAGACCCACTTCCTCAGATCAAATAGTGGAAGAAAATAGTCACAACCTAGGTCCACACCAATCTACTATATCATCTACCCATTCTCTGTGGGGTCTGCCTCTCCTATTCGGACCATCCATTATGCCGAATATCAGGGTCTTAACTTTTCGCTCTTCGTTCATTCTGCAGATATGCCCAAATATCTGTAACTTCCGTTGTATAACCTTCTGCAGTCACTTCCTCAGATCAAATAGTGATCTGAGGAAGTGGGTCTGGCCCACGAAAGCTCATCATCTAATAAACCATCTTGTTAGTCTTTAAAGTGCTACATTGTCCTGCATTTTGCTTCAAATTATTTACCACAGGACTCCTCATTGTTTGGAAAATAAAATACTTTTTAAAAAATAGAAAAATATGACTCACATTAGAAAGTTTCTGGGAGTACTCTGGGTGGGTGAAATGTATTTGTTTTTAAAAACAAATTTGCAGATTGCAAGTTGAATCTCTCTCTTTAAAGTGATTTTCTCCCTTGACGCTGTGTGAAAGATGTTCATAAACAGGAGAAACAGTGATATCAACCATACACAATATGCCATTAAATGGACAAAAGTAAACTCAAGTTAACTTCTAATTTATTTTAGTTGTCTTAATCTTATAGTTACCTATAATAGCTATAGGCAACAACAACAAAAATTCTGATTGCACGGCTCATCTTAAGGTAAGATTACTCCAAGTATGCATTTTGCGTAGCTGCAGTTGTGTACCTTAAGCCTTCCTTCCAGGTTCAGTGTAGATCTGCCCTCAGTCCACTAACAGCTTAGCCCTGCCATATTATCTGTGGGCAGAAGAACCCACATTTCACTTTAGCTGGGTTGTGAGCAGCTGTAAGGATCCACCCATGTGGATCTCTAAGGTGCTACAGGACCATTGTTGTTTTTAAAATTTTGTTAGTTACAGATTAACATGGCTACCTCTCTGAGACTTTCAAAATGGTTATAGTATTACATTCACAACACAACTTTCAATGGCTTTTTAGTCTCAGATATAACTAGAACTAGTACCTATATACATTTTTATATTACCAGATTATTTAATTTACAAAGTACAGCAATGAAGGGAGAACATTAAATCCTTTCTTTTACGAAATTGCAAATATTCCATGGAGTTGCTTCATAGTATCCTACTACAGTTTTCACTTTGTCTATACAGGGCTTTATAGTGTGGCTACTTTACAAAGATACAAGGAATTTAGCGTCTACACTATAGATACAGGCACACATACATTGTCTCATAGATACCGCAAGAGGAAAGTCCAAATCCTGCTTTCACATTAACAAGTACAACTCTCACTGAATTCAGTGTGCTGTGTGCAAGTATCTAAAGTCAATTTGGCTCAATGACTTTAAAGACTTACCAGAAATTATTTCTGATGCAGTAATATTTATAGTATAGATTCTTTAACTATGTAAAGAAATTTCAATGAGGTTCAAGAATAAGGCTCCCTTGGGTCATTAATGGTGCAGGCCAGTGTTTTTCAATTTCAGGCCTGTGGACCCATGTCGTCCACAGACTATGTCCATGAGGGTCTGTAAAAGGTCATTGTTGCCATAGAACAGTGATTTTTCAACTGTGATCTGTGGACAACATGGGGGTCCACAGAGTACATCTAAGATTTCCAAAGGGGTCTGACCTACATTTCAAATTTTTAGAGGTTAACAACAACTCTCTGACTATGGTTATCCAGCCAATTATGCACCCATCTTATTGTGGCCCTATCTAAGTTATATTTGCCTAGTTTATCAATAAGAATATCATGTGAGACCGTATCAAATGCCTTACTAAAGTCTAGGTATATGACATCCACCGCTTCTCCCTTATCCACAAGGCTCGTTATCCTATCAAAGAAAGCTATCTGATTAGTTTGGCATGACTTGTTCTTCATAAACCCATGCTGGCTATTCCCTATCACTTTATTACCTTCCAAGTGTTTGCATATGATTTCCTTAATTACCTGCTCCATTATCTTCCCTGGGACAGACGTTAAACTGACCGGTCTGTAGTTTCCTGGGTTGTTCTTATTCCCCTTTTTATAGATGGGCACAATATTTGCCCTTTTCCAGTCTTCTGGAATCTCCCCTGTCTGCCATGATTTTTCAAAGATTTTTCAAAGTTTGAAAACTTTGCTGACAGTTACTTTAAATAGACATGCCCTCCATAAAGACTATGGCTGCTGAGCTCAGATGTGTCCTCCACCCAGTGTGGGTCTCATTTAAAGGCTTGACTGATAGATGTCACTTAACATGAATAGTCATTAGCTGACAACAGATAAGCCTGCTGGACACCAGCCAATAAACAAGCAGCATTCTTTTTCATTTAAAAATGTGTGAACTTTTCTGTCAGATGACAGTTTTTAAATTACTGCTTCATGGGAACAATCCATGAAGCAATACCACCCAACTGTAGGCATCTGTAGAATTAAAGTTACTTCTTAAGTAATAACAGCAATAACAGGTATCCATCAGTGCTTAAAGTGGTACTACTGCCTCCAAAATAAAAAAAAAGTGGCCTGTTCTCTATCCTTCCACACAACAGGTTCACTACAAGATGCTTCTCCCTAACACCAGCAATTCTTTTAAAATCTCTACTAGCTCTACTTCTCACTAATCACCAGTTGAAGATCTTTCTCTCTCTCTCCCCCGCCCCCCAGGTCCTCCACTAAAGTTGTAAAAGAAGTAGTTCTATTACTTAAAACTAAAATGTTCTGGAATAAAGTCTGCAAAATAGTGTCACACCACATATACCATCACTACAGTTAAGGGGGAGAAGAGGCTAAGCATCATCAGTCTGGTGGATTAAACATTGCCAATGTACAATGACAGGTACTAACTATATATATTATCAGAGGGGTAGCCATGTTAGTCTGAATCTGCATAAGCGGCAAGGAGTCCTGTGGCACCTTAGAGACTAACCAAAATATATAGAATCATGAGCTTTCGTGGGCATCACTTCATCAGATGAATTGGAGTGGAAATAACAAGCCTATATATATATATATATAAAAAAGCAGCGAGGAGTCCTGTGGCACCTTAGAGACTAACCAAAATATATAGAATCATGAGCTTTCGTGGGCATCACTTCATCAGATGAATTGGAGTGGAAATAACAAGCCTATATATATATATATATAGGCTTGTTATTTCCACTCCAATTCATCTGATGAAGTGATGCCCACGAAAGCTCATGATTCTATATATTTTGGTTAGTCTCTAAGGTGCCACAGGACTTCTTGTTATTGCCAACGTGGTTCAATAAACACAATACAATTCAACTCACAACGCCTATCTTCAGTTTCGTCCCAACAGTCATGCCATGTTAGGTATAACTGTAGGATGGTACCAAATTGTTGGGCAAGGCTGCTGTGCCCTGTAAAGCAGACGTTGGGTTCCAGCCCAGAAGAGACCACACTGCAGCGGCACCTTAAACTCAGGACGCACAGCTAGGACGCATTCACAGCAAGGCTGCAACTCACACTTTTGTCAATATCCAGCTTGAGCTTCTTCTGGGAGATGCTCTTCTGGATCCTCTTGCTGAAGGAGGCATTGCCGGCTGGGCGCATGCAGCGGTCCCCGTCCTCGATCAGGCAACAGCTCTGGCCGTAAAAGGGGGCAGCGGGGGGCCCATCCCGGCTGTCCTCCTCGGTGCTGAAACCATTCATCGCCCAGCTCAGCCCAGCCCGGAAAATAATGGTAGGGAGAGACCCGAGGCCTCCCAACAGCAGAGAGTGGGACCCAGA